GGAACTAAGTTTGGTGAGGGAGATCGCGCTGCATCAAAGTGATATGTGAGTCGTGGCTGAATTTTCAATGTACAGTAGAGTAGCTGAAACATGCGTAGCTAATTTTAAACTTTGCAAAATCGTGCTTAAATATCAGTTAAATGGACTCATTGACATCTTTTGGTTAGAATTTAGATCCCACTCGTTCTCCTCTACTCACTAGCCAATAATTTTGAGTCTTCATTTTTTTTCAATAAATGTAAACGAAGAATCACAAGTCTCACTTGTTATGTTTCATTGGTTGGTGAAACGATTTTAAGATGAAAGGACTTGGCATATTTGTTCAAAGTGAACCGCAAGATACCTCTTCGCTAAATGAAACCAAGAAAATGGAGTTTTCTTTCTGGTCAATCTTGAATATTTGTTAGATTTAATAAAATATTTTAACCGTTAGATGATGGAAATACTTTTAGAAAAGAGAAATTATTGGTTTCTTTCAAAATTTACGAACGAAGAAACACGGTACGTAGAAGAGTGTTGAATAGATGAATCATTAATTTCCTTAGCAGAAGCGGACGCAATATTTTAGATTACGTGAAAGGTTTTTTTGAGCCAGTCATGGAACACAAATCTCAACCGTGGGATTACATTTTCTTCTATAGAAAATGTTTATGTCAACAGATAAAAATATGTTTGCTATTATATATAGATGCACACACAAGCAACATGCATTCTACGATATATCATATAAGACCAATCTCTTCGTTTCGAAAAATTTGATAGCTTGCAATGAAGCTTCAATCTATGGGAAAACGATTGCCAGAAAGCCTTGAAACTGATAATAAGATGACTCGAAATCTCAAATCTTGATGGCACGCAACTGCTTTCTACTTACTGCATCCGAAAGTCCGTTCAAGAAAAGATTCTTCAACTTGATAATTATTGATTCGTTATGACAAGAAAGAGACAATTATTCACAAATCACTAGACAAGTAGTTACTATTTTTATGTATATTTGCTACTTGATTCGTTTTGCAGGAGTAATAAAAATGGGTATCCACAACTTTATTATATGCTTGCTTAAAAATAGTCTACTAGCGGATTTTTTGCCTATATCCCAAGCCACTTGCCAATTACTTAGTTACTATTTTTTTCAATCTTCATTTGTTTATAATCTTTAAAAAAAAATTCTAACCTATAGACTAGTGTATCTTTAAGAAAAAGAAAGTAGATTAAATATGATATATATTAGAGCTGGATTCGTCACCGAATCCGACCCACTAAAAATTCGAATAAAAACAGTTCATTGAAGACAAAAGAAACGAGTATGCGGCCCAATCCCAAAAAAGACAATATTCGAGAGAAAGTCCGCGTCAGCCCTGCAAATGCTGAGTCAATGGAATTTGAGCTGACGAGTTAGTAACGAGTCAACACGGCGGTTAGCAGAGACGTGGAAGCCAGATTTGCGGAGAATATACTAAGAATGTGTCCGAGATACGCGAAACCGTCCTGAATACGTGGAGATGGATTGAAGAGCTGAATCAAGCTATAAATACATAAAGTCAGAGCATATTTTGCCAACTTTTCACTTACGCAAGAGCTGAACACTATTTTTTAGCTTGTAATACGTCTCATTTGAGATCTCATTATATATTCGATTCATATCAATATAAATCCAACTCCGCTTTACTCTCTTTATCCCGTCAGATTTATAGACATTTCTTAGGACCAAAGTTTCTTATCCGAATTTACGTACAAATACTTAGTACGAAA